TATAAATGACTCGAGTTCCTTTTTATTATTAGGAGGACTTATTCCAAGTATTTTGCTGACTAAATTACGATCTGGTGTAACTCCTTTTTCTGACAGTTCATATCCTAAAAATGAAAGACTTTTTGTTTCATTCACTGACTTTCGTTTGTTTATGCTCATTCCCGATTCCTTCATTTTGCTCAATATTTTATTTAAATTCGATTTGAGTTCTTCAGCATTTTTAGCACTGACACATATATCGTCTTGAAATATAATCATATTGGGAATAATATCGCCAACAAAAGATTCTATCGCTCTTTGAAACATCGCACTTGCAGTCTTTATTCCGAAAGGTAAACAGGTCCATCTTAATAATCCAATAGGGGTATTAACTGTTGTTATTTCTTGTGCCTCTTTGACCATCTCAATTTGATGATAAGCTCCCTTGAGATCAATTTTAGCAAAATATTTCATCCCTGCCATTTTATGAAATACGGTCTCAATGTTTGGGATGGGATATGAGTCTGAGCATATTTTTTGGTTAACACCTATTTTGTAATCTGCACAAATGTGTAAATCTCCGTCTGTTTTTCTAACAACCACAAGCGGTGAAGCCCATCTGCTTCCACCAGGAGGAACCCTTTGAAGCAACCCTTGCTGTATCATTCCATTAAGTTTATCTACCACTAGTGGTCTTATGTAAATAGGAAGAGGTCGAGATTCAAAATAAGTTGGTTGTATGCCGTTTTTTAACAGAATATTTGCTTTGTAATTAATTAAATGCCCATGAACAAGAGGTTCTATACTATTAACTAATTTTGTGGCGTTGATATTTAATACATCCATACCAATAAGACCATGATTTTTTGAACAGTCTGCAACAATAATTCGTACGATATTCATTTTTGATTCGGTTTCCAAAGTTGCCTCAAATTCACCTAGGACTTTTATAACTGTGCCATCAAACTGTTTCAGGCGAAGGTAGCATTTTTGTAATTTCGGTTTAGACATTAGTTCCCAAAAATTTTTTGGAATAATTGTGACTTGACTTCCGATATCAACTTGCATTTTTATATTGTAGTCATTAATTTTTACACTAATCTCTGAGTTTGTATCATTCATGTTAATGGAATACACACTAGCATCATGGTTCTCTATTTCCTCTACTATTTTTTCATATTTAATGTTTGCTTTGCATACGTTTTTAAAGTGGTTCAGCTTCCCACATTTTTTACAACTCTTCCCAAATGCTGGGCATTTCCTAGGTGGGTGTTGAAGGCCACAATACTTGCATTTAATCATTCTTTCTTTATTTTTATCAATGTAATGAACTGAAGGAAGGTCTATGCTGTTTTCGATGTTGTTTTGTATACTAAAACAGGATATTTGCTCCAGTTGCCTGATAAAATCAATACATGCTCTTAGTTTAGGCGATTCTCCACTCTGTATCATTTCTAGAGCTTTAACTCTCTGATCAGAAAATTGGAGACCATCAATCAATCTCATTTGAATCAAATCATCTTCCGCACTTTGGCCATCTCTTCCCAATTTTTCGAAAGCGTGAAGCTTCGCGTAATCTTTGTGCATATGATACAATGTTTTCATTGTTTTGCTGTTTTAATGCTAAAAATCGAACTCTTTCAGCAATAATTAGTCGTTTTTGAGGTCTCAAATGGGACATAACAACAGTTTTAATATCATCGAACATCATATTTTCTAATTCTTCTGGATATACCATAAGAGAAATCTTTTTAACTGCTTCAATCCCTGCTTTTGCCATAAATAAATCTGTTATCTCGTAGCTACCATTTATCTCATCTTTTAATTTCTTTGAACGTGCGGAAGCTGAAAAGCATCTAATCCATGCTTCTGCATTGCCTGGGTCATCTAAAGTCAAATCGGATCCTACTCGTAGCGCCATTGTTGTGTCGTTAATAAAACACTGTACTATACTTAAATATATATATTCTTATAAGTAAGCCATCTTTAATATACATTTTAATATATCTACGTATGTTTACATATATAAAAACATTGTTCCTATTTGTCTGCATATGACTAAGGTTCACGGCTTCACAATATTAAAAAAAAATTTGTTGTTTAGCCATTATACTTCCGGTTGCGAGGTTAATATTAACTCCAATCAGCCTAGTTTTTTCCATTGTAAAAATATCTGGTTTAAATAATAAAGTTTAGTTTTTTAAATGATTTACACAACTATATTGGGTTTTCCCTCTTTATAAGAAAATGTTTGTCCTGCATTAATAAATTTAGTTTAACCAGAGAATTTTGACAAAACAAAATTGTAATTAAACAAAGATTACCACTTTTGTTTCATTTTATTTCTATTTAAATATTTCAATTTCATTTACTGTGAAACCAAATGTATTTTTACTATTTCATACTAATTCAACAACAACAAAAAAAAAAAAGTTCAGATTTAAGATTTAATTATGAGAATAATTAAAATTTAATTATCAGAATAATTTTTAAATTTACATATCTTGTATTTATAGTAATAATATTAGTTTTGTTTTAACGTAAAATAAATATAAGTTAGATTTTTAAAGCATTTAATTATTGATTGCAACTTGACTACATTTTCATATAGTCTTTTAAGAATTTGCGGCAAAATAAAGCTATAAGAGACTAGAGAGAATAAAATAGAAGAAAGGAAACAAAGACTATACGAAATAGAAAACCTAAATAAAAAGAAATTAAAAAAATTGAACATTAAAAAAAAGTAAAATTTTGTCAAAAAAGTAATATGCCTATATATTTTACTGTTTTTGTTTTGTTTTCTTTTTTGTTTTTGTAGGGCGTTTTTTATTTTTCACTACTAAAATTGATACAAGTAGAGGAAAAAAGAAGATAAGAATATAACAAAAATAAAAACAATTTTTTATATTCAACTTTTTTGCTACTTTTTTATTCAGTATAAGTTTTCAGTCCGTATAATAAGGAAATACTTTTAATTTTAACAAGTTTTTCATGCAAAAAATTAAAAAGTCATTAATACTAATATTTAAATATAAAATAATTGGTTATTTTCACTTTGTTTCAACTTTTTTTTAAGTTTTTAAATACATTTTTTCAAACATTGCAATCGTTATTCTCATTATGACTTGAAATTTATATTAACGCTGGAAATTAGGCAATATAAAAGAAACAATTCCAGACACCCATCAAATGTGGTAAATGCATTTATAAAAGAAACCATGTTATTTAATTTCTCACATCATTACAAAATTTATTAATCAAATAATATATTTTACAAATAAACAGCAATTTATTTTCTTATTAACAAAAGTTGTATAATAACTTTATAAAAAAATTTTTTTTTTAATTATTAAATTTTTCTAGTTCATTTAAAAAATCTTGATATTTGTAACAACTTTTAAGCGAGGATGAACAAGGCATACAACCGCACACATTTCCCGAGAAGGCTTGTGATCATGTTATTTTTATTCAATCATAAAACTTTGTATTGTGTAAAAGATTATATGCAAAGGCATTCTTTTTTATAAAAATTTATTGCAAAAGTGAAAACCCAAACATAACATTTATAACTTGAGTTGAAGAATTTTTCTGTATTGACGTCATTTAACTAAAAAATTGCAGTCAATAGACCAGTTTTTTTTTAAAAAAAAAAAAAAAAAGCAAAAAGCAAAAACTTACCTTGGAGGAAAAAAAAAGCGTTGAAAATTATAAAGTTTTTTGCTTCTATCTCGATAAATAATTTGTTTTATTATGGATTATTTATGATACAAATATAACTTGTCTTGGTACTCGGGGATCACTTTAAATATTATTATATAATCCATTAATATAACATGACGTTAGAATAATTGGGTTTTATCTCCATTCAAAAAGGGGTTCTATCTTCCCTTACCTTAATTGGGCTCTATCTTCCCTTTGTAAAGTTGATTTTTTTGGTTAAATAACAATTATTTATTATTATTGAACTAAGGGTTAAATGACAGAATATATATAAGATTGTTTTTATAAAATCAGTTTGAGGGTGTTCTTATTAATAATAAACACCCAAATATTTTTTTCCAGAAGTATATTATACAAAAAAATAAAACTTGTCTAAATGAATTAAAAGTATATCATTGCTCCTTCTAATTATTCTAAAATCATGCAATAGTTTTGTGTTTGTTAAATATGATCAGCATAGTAAAAATCCTTTTGCAGAACTAAAATAAATGAAAAATTACAAAATTTAATTTTCAAATAATAAAAATTCTTGTTTTTAAAACATTTATCTAGGTATTTTGGCTTTGTGGAATAGCTGGGTAAATGTTTTAAAAACAAGCATTTCTTTGCTCAAATAAACTTACTTAAAAAAAAAATTGCATAATTAAGGTTTTCTAAACAATCGATTTCTAAATGTAAACTTTGGTTTAATCAGCATAAAATTCTCATAATCAATAATTAAAAAAAAGGAGAGAGGGGGGGGGGACTGCAGTAGCTCCAAACTTTCTTCAACAAATCCATATTTCAAAAATTTTGTATTTAAAATACCATAACTTTTTATAAAAATGTTAAATTTTTGTATTTCAGTTTAAAATTTTATGTCACTTATCTAATTCAATGTGTTCATTTGAAAATGAAAAGATTATTTTAGTTTAATGTCATAAGATGAAAAAATTTCATAATCTGATATCATTTAAAGCACATGCTTAATGTAAATTAGTTTATAGTATTTGAAAATAACCTAGTAGCGCGACTTCTTACACTAAAAAAGAAGATTTTTACAAATAAATATACATTACTAAAGACTACATAAAAATACATTGAATGATTTTGATAAATTTATTAGCTAAAATTGTTAGAGTTAAAATAATTAAACTGTGTTTGAGAAATAAAATTATTTACTAAAAAAAGAAAGAAAAATAGTAGAAAGAAAAAATACATATTTTATTGGAATAGCCTAATGAATCTACCGGTTATAATTGTATATATATATAAATATAAAACAAATATTTAAATCTAAAATTTAAAAAAAAAAAACATACCAATAACAACTTGTGTAAACACAATTAATTAGTGCTTTTAGAGAAGATATTTTTTTATCTTCAAGATGCACAAAAGACCCATCAATGCTCATTTTATAAAATATTTCTCGACTTTTCTAAAGGTTTTTAAAGATATTTTGTTTATAGGTTTCCCGGTACCGTAAAATACACGAGTCTTGTTTTCTTGATACGCTTTGGTTAAATTCCCGGTCCCGAGAACACGCAAAAGTTGTTTAACATAAAAAGTTAAAGTAGTTTTGAAAATACACTTTGTATTACCTTTATCTTGCTTTCCTGATTCATATAATTTAAAATCTTTTAAGTCATCTGTCAATCTTTACCTTGCTCTATAAACTTCATCTTTTTTCTTCCAGTAACTTCCAACTCTAATTAGTGGTTGCTTGCAGCTTTGTTAGAATGTTTTTTAAAACTTAAACTTTGTTTTTAACTTTGTTAAAACTTAAACAATTACTTTCATTGAAAGTAATTGTTTACACTTAAACAATTACTTTCAATGAAATTAATTGTTTAAGTGTAATGATGAAAGTTTCATTCAAAATAAAACTGTCATATAAAACACGGAAAATATGTCCCTATGCAGTATTTTTACAGTCTGTGATTAGTAGTCTATCGTCCAATTAAGATTTTGTATGTCCTTCCTTTTTCCTAATCATCGCCTCAATGCACCTAGGCATACTGTCTTTTACACTTTGACAATACTTCTTCAAAATTTCCCTAACCCAGACTTCTTTTACCAGTCAAGCCAACTCTGCAGCACTTGGCGGTTGCTTTTCCGAAACTTTATTTTTCAATTCCGTCCAGGGTTGGCTGATTTAAATCACATCGATTTAAATCAGTGATTTAAATCAAGATTTAAATCAAAAGATTTTTTTGGATGACTAATGATTTAAATCAAGTTTTTCTTTTATGTTTGATTTTTGAATAATAAAAATTTATTTAAAAACTATTTTTGTCATATTTAAAAAAAAAAATAATTAAATGTAACAGAACTATGTATTTATAGAAATAATGACTCAAAGTATACAATAAAAATAAATAAAACAGGTAATGCTACAGTGCGCAAAACAAATTAATAAACATAATTATCAATTAAAACTAAAAAAATTTTATCCTGTGTGCAGCATTAAAATTAATCATCAACATCAAATTGAATAATTTTCTGCTGATTAATTGCCTTGAATAGAAACACAAGCTTAGCAGCTTTTTCTGTACCCAATCTATTTCTCAGTTTTGAATGTACCAAGCCGTAAGAGGAGAACACACGTTCAACTCCTGCAGATGAAGTTACCGCAGTCATCAATTGCAAAATTGTATTTAATGTTTTACTTTCAATGTTATCGCGGTGTGATCTCCACCACTGAACAGACGATAATTCTGTTAAAACCTCTAATCTAAATTCAAATTCCAGGAATGGGTATGACTTTCCTTCTAAATTTCATAACAGACATATTTTTTTGTTTTTGTTTAGTATGTTTTAAATATTTTTGTTTCTGCAAAAATATAGCTAGAGTTTTAAACTATTTAAGAGTAATATTTTTTTGACAAAAATTTTGACAAACAGTCAATATTAAATTATAACAACAATATTTAAGAAAAAACTTAATACTATCTAAACTTAATATAATAAATATCCAGAAAATCTTTATACAATCGCATAGTGTGGATAGTTTTGTGGAGGTATAAGGTTAAAAGAAATGATTTTAAAATCCTGAGTATACTTTTGACTTGTTTGACCACTGCATTATGTACAAAAAAAACACAGTCAACCAATTTAATATTACTTTAAATTATATTAAAAGTTAATCAAAAAATATTTTATTTAAATCAAAAAAATCTGATTTAAATCAAAAAAATCTGATTTTTTTGATTTTTTTTAAAAAATCGTGATTTTTTCCAACCCTGATTCCGCCCATAAATTTTCAACCGGGTTGATTTTAAAGCTATTTTCCTTCGAAGACTATGACTTTGTCATGGGCCAGAAACTTGCATTTGCAACTTTCAATGCAAATGTAGGCTGTTGGATTTTGTTTTCAACTTTGGAAAAATTGCTCCATCCTACATGAAAATATTGTAGTTATGAATTTCCATATGAGGTTTGAGTTTGTCTGATAGCTTGAAATATTTTGGTCCATTCATGGTAGTTCCTGCCCCATTAGCTCAAACGTTTAATCCAAATATTACGCTCTTGGATTTCAAGGCAGGTGTAATTCAGTTTCAAGTTCTTACGATAAACAACGAGAAGCTGTCATATAACTAACTTTAACTAACTTTGCATCACTTCCGCAGAAGTTCAGCCCTGATTTTGTTGATGGAACTTGTTGGAGTTCAAACAGCAATCAGTCAACTCTAGACTGCGTAGGATTATAATTTCGGACCTCTGAACGGCTGTAGAGAATTTCTTTTGTCCCACATCTCCATATTTCTAAGTTTCAAAGTTTCTGTAAAAAATCAAAACATTTTAAAACAATGTATTGACTGCTACTAAAAAATCTTCCGAAAGAACAAATTAAAATGATTCACTTTGACTATTTTTGGTGTTTGGTCTTCATGGCATAAAGCTTTATAATTAATGTAAGATATCAGTTATGCAAGAAGAAAATAAAAATTTTAAAAATGAAGTAAGTGATTTGAAAAAGTGTTGAATT